ACTTTCTAATAGTTGATTTTTCTTCAAGTTTACATTTGTACAGGTATCCTTGTTTTGACACAGATTAGGATAAAATGCTAAGCATCTTATAAAACTGCATTATATGTCACTGTTTAAAACTTTTCACAATTACTGACAACTGTTTACAACATTCTTTGAAACAATTTTCTTGTAGGCTTAGTTTTTAAAAAAAACATTAACAAAAGAATTTTTAAAAATTAAAAACAAGTTAATACTGGTTAAAACAGACAAATTGTAGAGGCACAAAGAATTCATAACATTAATTCACTGATACAAAACTTGCTGAAAAATGAATCTGCTAAGTGTATCTAAATGAAAAATGAGACAAATCTAGGATTTTGGGGATAGCTCAAATAGCTTCAGCAGAAGGTTTTCTTCTTTTACAGTCTTTTTAATCCATTACCTAATTGTTCATATCTCATATCTGATAAATATTTGAGATTAACATGACACATCACTATGTTCTCTCCCATCCTAAAGTATACAATATTCTTGTCTATAATATCTTTATCAATGTATATTTTCTTGTGATACTGTATACTTCCCCAAATTTGGAATAGCTGGCAGTCTATCTTTAACACCTTTTACCACTTCTTGAAATCTTCCCATCTAGCAAATCCTATATTACTCAACATCCCCTCCCAGCTCGCTTTACTGTATGTCCCTTCTTTTTTTCTTCTTCTTCAAGTTCCATTGCTATGGTATTACTACATCACTAGATACCAGGGTCAGTTTTAGGGTAGCAATATAGATGGTTTTTATCACATAAACTGAAATGATATTATCTTTTTTCTAAAAAACCTCTTTTGTTTCATGGCATACAATCACTTCGTTTTTCTTGGAGATTTTCTTTATTTAATTAATATCATCCAAATTGTGCAGGTGGTGCTTCCTCTGTGACAGTACAACTTACTCTGATTTAGGAAATGATTATTTGATTCAGTTTTATTTCTTTATTTAAGCCACTTCCATTACAATCAATCTTTGACACTGAAGAGAAATTCATAGAAGAAATTGATTGAATAAATCATTTTTCTGCCAAGAGTTTTTTCATTGTCACAATATAATTAAAATAGTCACATCTTTAACACATTAACTATTCAACATTTCTAGCCATTTATGGATGTGATTATCTCATTATCTTATACCTAGAGTTCTTCATTCTCAAAGGCAACAAATAGCAGACGATTACACAATTACTTATTCTGTCCTTTTTTTAAAAAATGCTGAACAGATGTTCAAGCTGTTCTGTGATTATTTTCTACTAATGATCCAACTCTGGAAAGAAGTAGCATTATGCTATTTATGGAATTACTGAGTGATTAAGCTTCTTGAAAAGGTGTCTTAGAAGAGATATAGATGTTTAGAGTAAAAACAACAAATAAAATCTACAATTTCTCTACATTATTATAAGCTGATTTTGTTTTGGTCTCAATTCTCATTCTTGGTGCTCCATGCTTTAAATAGAATTTTAACTTTATTAAATGTGTCATGCTACAATCCAGAGAGTAAGATTAAACGTATCTCTTGCTCAAACTGAAATACTCATGCATACTGAGTGCCTCATAATGACCCTTAATAACTAGCAAAAAATAGTCATTTAGCATTAAAAATCTCAAGTGCTTCCACAAAGACATTGCAGGGTGGGGAAGGCAAGTGATATCTATACAAAACAAAAGTAAATTCAGTCCTACAAATTTGGGGGGGGGAGTTATTTGCCATTTCACAGTGCAATAAAAAAATTTCCACAAACCTAACAGTGCATACAATTGGTTCAGAGGGAGGGAGGGAGGGAGGGAGGGAGGAAGGAAGGAAGGAAAACTTTAATGGCAAACTCTTAGAATAAATATTTGAAAACAGTTCAAGCTGCATTCAGTTATCCTGAACTTATATCTATAATATTTCTTCCAAGGCTTCCAATTACATAAATGAAACAACTACAGCACAATTACTGGAATTAAAGATTATATACTGAACAGAGTTCCAGAAATGACAAGACTTTAATAAAACAGATGAGGTCCACATTGTCAGCATATCTCTTCTCGAAATAAACTATTTTTTGCTGATAGAAACATAAATTAGATATTTCTAATAATTATTGTTTAGATAAACAGCTTTTCTACAAATAGTTTTTTGTGGAAAAGGTTTGACACCTTTCAAATATTTGAAATCATGTTATATTTTCAGAAATTTTCTAAAATCAACTGTAGGAGGTAGCATCACCAATGTGCCTAATCCCTAAAAAAGCTAAGTCAGCTTAAGCCTGTTTAGTTCTTGGAGAACAGACCATTGGAAAATTCAAGGTCTTTATAAGCTTAAAATCAATGGGTATTACATTACAAAAAGGTGGCCATAGTAAACCACTTTCATGGTGTCGCCAAGAAAACTAAATGGATGTTTCTATGTGGTCATCAGGAGTTGAATTCAACCAGATGGATTCTTTATATTTACTTCATTTATATTCTCAGAAAAAAATATTTAAAATAATCAACTTCTTTGGAATTAGAGTTTGTCAAGTTTTTTTATACTGTCAAATAGAGTGTTATTAAAAACAACCCTGTAAGGATCTGCTTAGAAAAAATGCTAAGAGAAAGATCTCTGCTACTGATGCTTGTTTATGAAATAAGCAAACAGCTACTAAAAATAACTCAATATTGTTCTTTCATAGTAAATCTTCTACATAGTGAATTTCATTTCAAGGTTAGTTTTATATTCTGTTTATTTGATCATGCAAATATTGTGCACTTTTAGTTAACATGTCTAAAGACAAAGTTTGCTGTGACTGAATAAACAGATTTAAATGTCTTATATTCAATTTTTATGGCACTCAGAGATAAACTCCACATTCAAACAATAAGGATGGAGCAGAACACCAAAATAGTGACACAGATTCCATACCCCCCCACCCCCACTGCTGAAGTTCATGTTTACTATTTCATATATTTACCACCACCATCTAGTCTTCTCCATCACAAGGCATACCAGAGAAATAAAACAATTATCACTATAATTAATACATTCTAGAGTGGTATGAGATTGTTAATTGCAAAAGAACCCCAGAGTCAGCAATAGCAATAAGCACTTAAGACTTATATACCATTTCACAGTGCTTTACAATCCTCTCTAAGTGATTTACAGAATCAGCATATTGTCCCCAACAATCTGGGTCCTCATTTTACCAACCTCAGAAGGATGGGTGGCTGAGTCAACCTTGAGCCAATGAGAATCGAACTGTTGAACTGCTGGCAGTTGACAGTCAGCAGAATTAGCCTGTAGTACTGACAGCTGCATTCTAACCAGTACACTGCTCTTGTCAGATTAAGACAGCTCCAAACTAGATGGGTAATCTCAGTTTACCTTCTCTTAGCATGCTAAGTATCCAACTTAGAAACAATTCATTAAAAAAAATACTGCACACGGATACTGAAATGCATACGCATTTCAGAAGGCCCAGTGTGTCTCTTTTGCCATCCAGAATGCTCCTATATAATGAATCCAAGAATTACACTGGCTATCTAACAAGCAGACCCAAAACTCCAAGGAAACAGTCTTAACTTTCGATCAGCTATTAGTCCCAACAAATGCAATATCCTGCAATACAGTACAAACTATATCTAATATCTACAGAAGGTAAGGGCCAAGATAATTTGGTTGACAAGAGCCAATTCCTGATCCCAAACTTTGGATGATAGCCAATTAGCAAGCTCCCAGCATTACAGTCCTGTATCATAATATTTCACCCCTTTTGAGATTTTTCGTCTCAGGCAGAATATGGGGGAAAGATACTGGTCACAGACAGCTGTAGGATCTGCTCAGTTGCAATAAAAATAGGGTCTTTTTCCGATAACTAGTGGATCAATGTTATAATAATCTCTCTGTAAAGCATTCTGCATGGGACTACAAACATGCTAACACTTGTCTGCCCCTCCTTCCTCACCCCTAGCTTCTTTCAATTTCTCTCTCATACAAAGTTTCTTCTTTCCTCACCTGCACTCATTAATCCCCTACTTCTCCCACCCCTCTATCACGATTAATGCTGTACTCCAGCATTCCTTTCGCCCATGCAGGAGGTTTCTAACTAGGCAAGTTATGTTCCCCTCCCCCTTTCCTCCTTCTCCCCGCTGACCTTCAAGACCCACCATTCCCAACAAGCGGATACATGCCTCCTCGCCCGATCAACTTCTTCCCTCTCCCCCCCCCAATACTTCCAAAAAGTGGAGGGCGAGCGCCTCCCCCCCCGCAGTTCCTCCCGGAATACTTTCCGTCCAGCCCATAATCCGCGCCTTCTCGCCTCAACGAACTTTTCGGGTTGGAGGGGGGGGGAGGAGAGGCCACTAATTAAAATGTTCTCATCCATCCTTTCACCGCTTTACGTCCAACACCGCCCTCCGAGCACGCCCCGCTGCCCGGAGGCCCGGAGAGAGAGAGAGAGAGCCGAGTCCCAGCCTCTTCCCGCTTCAAAATGTTTTTTTTTTTTTCCCAGGCATACCGAGAGGGGATAATTTTGCCCCGCTCGTCACCAGGAGGGCCGACCTTCCACGCATCTAGGCGCCCACTTCCCCCGGCTCTAGCCCTCTCGGCGACCTAAGCTGCCAGGCCCTCTTGCGCCCGCGGCCCTTCCCGCCCTCCCTCAGCCTTTACACCTCCGCCCCGTCGCCCGCCTGCTCCCCAACCGTGGGCCGGCGGCCTCGGGAACACCCGCACACCACGCAACTCTCTGGCGGATCAGCTCCCACACCCTCGCCTCACGCCCGGCACCTCTCCGCAGCTGCCCACCCCGAAAGAGTACCCGCTTCGGAGGCAGCGCCGGCAGAGCCCGCTCGTCCCAGCGCCCCTCGGGCTGCGGTGTGCCCGCCGGAGGCAAGGGCTCCCCTGCTGCCCACTCGCGCTTCTCCTGCGACACCGCTCCGCCGCCGGCTTCCCCTCAGCCTCAAAGCAGGGGAGCGCAGCGTCCCAGTCCCACGCCTTGTCCGCCTTACCCCAGAACCACGAGCTCTCCATATTTGACGGGCTCCTTGTTGGGCGCGCAGTGCTCCTCCTGGCTAGGAGAAAACATGGGGCCACCGCCACGGTTGTCGTCGTCGTCCTCGCTATAATCCCATGCGGGGCAAAAATGGCATTCACCAAAAGAATAGCAATAATAATAGTCATCAAACAGGACGTTTGGCTGGAGACCTTTCCTTCATAGTGGCGGAGCGAGCCGGCGGTCGGTCGGGCGAAATTACGGGCTGCCTTTGCTTGGTGCGCCCGCCGACGCGGACCCTTTGCTTCCCCTCACAGCGCTCAAGCCAAGAGCGACAGACACGACTGCCCGAGGGGGGATGAGGAGAGACCAACTAGCGCCTACCCAGAAAGGAGGCGTGGAACGGCCCCTCCTCTCAGCTTTCTCCGGTCCTTCCACGCTCCCCTCGCCTTGCATCAAAAACCGTGATGGTATCTTCCAGTCTGTTATGTAAACATAGAGTACGAAAAGGGAAAGGGGGAAGTTCTTAAAGGGCTGCTGCCTTGTAAAATCAATGTTCCCTTCATAAGAAAAGACAGGAGTTGTCTGGCGCCGTCTACCGGATGCTTTGTTCCTCTCTCTCTCTCTGCAAAAGCCTGTCTACAATAATTGACTACTGTACTGCAAGGAGTTTTTTCTGCCTCGAATAGGTCGGCAGGAGATTACGGTACTTAGTACTTAGTGAATATAAGCTTAAGTGAAGAGTGGAGAAAGAAAGTAATATGTAAGTAATTTGGGGAGCTCACTGCCACAAGGTATGGTTGTGACCATTGTTCTATCTAATATAAAAGAGAAGATACACATATAACTCTAGAAACTGAGTAATAACCAAGTTACTCTAGCTGAAAGAAAGACAATTCTTTAGTATCTTTGAAGTCAACAAATGTATAACAGCAAAATATTTTGTGGACTGTACAACAATAGCATGAAGTATTACTCTGAAATAAGTTTAGAAAGTGAAACAGTGAAGATAAAGATAAATTAAATAGAGAAGGTAAAACAGTAATTTTAGTGGTGGCTGTATATAAATTTATTTATTAGATTTTTATCCCACCTTTATAAGTTACCCAAGCCAGCAAACATACCTAATGCTCTTTCATCTTCCTATTTTCCCTCACAACAACAACCCTGTGAGGTGGATTGGGTTGGGAGTGGCTGACCCTAAGTCAACCAGCCGCTTTTCATACTAAGACAGAATTAGAACTCACAATTTCCTGGTTTCTAGGCCAGCACCTTAATCAGTACACCAAATTGGGTGTGATTGGGTATTGTTGCATATAATACCAAGAAACATTCATTGATGCAAATACTGTAGCTTGTGGCTCAAAAAAAAACCCCTTGTTTCTCTGTTTAAGCCACCGGTTCTCAACCTATGGGTCGCGACCCCATTTGGGGTCGATCGACCATTTTTCGGGGGTCGCCAAAGGTGGCGATCTGCCATTTTCTCCCCTCCGGGGGCGGCACCGCGCATGCGCACCGCGCATGGGGGCGCTGCCGCACATGCGCACCGCACATGGGGCGCCGCGCATGCGCACCACACATGGGGGCGCCGCGGCGCGCATGCGCATAACGTTTGTGTGACGGGGGTCGCCGTCACACAAACGTTGAGAACCGCTGGTTTAAGCCAATGAGAGAGAGAGAATCCATTCATTGTACCTTGGCTATTTCATCTTGACATCTGTCTTTGAAGTTCAAAAATGCCCACATTAAAGTAAATGACAATCCAGAGAACTTTGTCCGTTGTTTTTTAATCTTGTCATTTTTTTGGGTCAGATATGTGGCTATTCAGTACTGCAGTGAGGTATTCCATACTACTGTTACTATGGAGATAAAATTAATGCAAAAATTTCATTCAGTGAATGACATTTATCTTTACCAATGAATCTAAGATTTAGTGAGTCTTAGACTGGTAACTTTCTGTAAATAATTAGAACTTCTGGAATAGTGATCGTATAAAGTAGTGTTTCTCAAATGTGACAACCTTTCTCAACCTTGGCATGCTGGCTGAGAAATTTTGGGAGTTGAAGTCCACATACATTTTCAAAGTGCCAAAGTTGAGGAACTTTGCTATAAAGTGTTAGTTCTTGAGGAACCACAAAAGGAAAGGAATCTGGTTTTCAGGCCATAAGTTGAGCTTTTCTGCACTCTCAGTTGGCATCCATGGAGAATGAGGCGGCCTCAGTCAGATCTTTACCAATATTTGCACATAAAATAGACATGCAGCACTTACACAGTGTGCACCTTCCTTTCACAGTCCTTCAAAAGCAATTTCACCCTGAGGTCTGCTTCATTGCTGCCAACTATAAAAAATGAGAAAGCCTTCAGCCAATTCTTCCAGCAGTCCAACAGCAGCCCCAGAAGAATATTATTCAATCCATAGCCACCCCACATCTTTCATTTGCATTTTCTTTTCCTTATCTTATATTTATTTGTCTCTTTAGCTCTCAGATTTCTTATTCTTTGTCTGTGCTCTGCATAATGTAGCTTAATCATGTGGAAATGATGTGATGGGCATGTATGCATGTATGTGTTTGTATCCACAGAACTACACTATTCCTTCTTTTGCAGAATGAGCAACTTGTTGGCTGACAAAATGCATGCAATTCCCACCCATCCTCCTACACTTACTTTTTTACAATTCATTATGATCTCTGTGTTAAATTTCAACAACAAATTGATAAGGGATAGAGATGCAATTTCCTATCATTTTTCTGTAGAAAACTCCTGAAAACAAATACAAATTCTAATTTAAACAATCCTTTCCCTGCAAAAACAAGCAACAAATAAACTAAAACAACTTTAAAAATCTCAACACCACCTAAAATGGGGCTATCTCCCTCATAAGGCAACCAGAGCAGCCACATGCAGCATCTTTTTTCTGCAGGGTCTTCATGTTGTTGCCTTCATCACACCCCTAGTCTATGACTGAAACAGGCTTAAGTCACCATATTAGTGATAGAGGATTATTTTCCCTCTTATTCCATCACAGTCTAAGGGTAACTTCAACATGTATAGCATTAGTTAGGCTTCATCACCTTGGAGGCAAAAGCAGCAGTCAGTTGAAAGAGAGAAGCTGAGGTAGTGTAAGGGATCAAAAAAGGGAATAGCAGTTTTCAAGTTGGGAGGTTTTCTGCTGACTCAAACAAGAAAGGAGAGCACTTTGGTTCAGTAATGGGGGAAGACCCTTTATGGATGTCACTGCATCCGCTCTCCAAAGTGCTACTTCCAGACACCCAAAAGTTGTTCTTACATGCTTTATGTCGTTTGAAATCTACAGCCTAACTTTGGGGACAAGGTCACTTAATGTGACACAGAAGAAGTATTTGCCACCTGAATCAGTTGTTTCAGTTGGGTTTTTTTTTTAACCAACAAAACAAAACAAGACAAAACAAAACATAACACACATACAGGTGGCGCAGCAGTTAGAGTGCAGTACTGCAGGCCACTTTAGCTGACTGTGTTCAGCAGGTCAGCGGTTCAAATCTCACCGGCTCAAGATTGACTCAGCCTTCCATCCTTCCGGGGTAGGTAAAATGAGGACCCAGATTGTTGGGGGCAATGTAAATATATATATACATTGCTTACTGATGTACACCGCTTAGAGAGTGCTTGCACTTAAAGCGGTATATAAGTCTCATAAATAAATAAATAAATAAATAAATACACACACAACATATACTCCTCTCCCTTTTTTTTTACAGCGATTGCGTAACGGTAATCTATTATTGTTTCAGTTGGTTTAATGGTAGGTCTACTTTTAGCCTAATCAAAATTCCGGTCATCTAACCAATATCCTAAGCCTGGCAGATATAGGATTTAAATGGATCCTCTCCTGGCACCCATGTTCTCATGATATCAGTCTGCAAGGTTTCTTTTAAAGATATAACAATATCTGGGAAAAGAAACCTACAGTTGGCAGATCATATGGTTTTCAAAGCCAATACCCATTTAAATTCACCCCAGCTTGTCTGGGGATCACTCTGTTGAACATGCAGCTAAAAGTAAAATACATCTTCTCTGGATTGTAATTTATCAGCAATTGGAAATGACATTATGAAGTCTCACCCACCTATTCAATTTCGTCTTCTGAGACTAAAATAAATTGTCTTAACTGCTAGCTTCTTTGTTCAGGGAGGGTTTTTTTTAAAGAACACTCTATTTTTATTAACACTCTAAAAATGTTTTAAATCCATGTTTCCACTTTGGAGTCATTTATATGCTGTTTAATCTTTTTATTTTAGCTTTTTTTCTCTTTAAGGATTTGTCTGCGTAAATGGCTATTTTCTCTTTAAAAGGAACGCTTTCTCTTCATCTTTCCATTTTGCACACTACTGGATAAAAGGAATCAATTAATGTCTAGCTGAAACATGTTTAAGTACCTATCTTTAGCCTATTTTATTTTGTTTTTCAGAAGTGATTATCTAAGATAGAAAGTTTTGTCTTTGTCTTGCACTATTTAATTCTTAAAAACCTGAAGTGCTGAATATATTTGAACATTGGCTATTTAATGTTCAAATTGGCATGTAAAATCCATAACCTCCCTCTGTGCCATTACTTAGGATCCAGTGGTACATAGTCATTCTATTGCTTGTCAGATTTAGCTCTTCCTGTTCATAGGTCTGGGATAACTTTTTCCCCAACCCCACCTCTTCATCCAATTCCATTTATTAACAATGTGCTTCTTCCTCTACTTTTTTTTTCACTCTCTGCTTCTTCTTCTCTTATTGTCTCTTCAAATTTCCAGTTTATTTCCCAGTGACTTATTTTCATTTAACCCATTGAAATCACTTCCTCCTTCTTGCTTTGCTTGCTTTCAGGTTAAATACCTTCATATCTAGGCATTGTGTTATAGCAGCCCTGCCCTTACATTCTGCAGAAATTGATCTTAGATTTTAGATAATTAAAAAGTTCCTGATTTTCTATGCAATGGACAGTAGCCTACTAGGCATTACTTGAAAAAAACACAGGTATATCTATTATCTAAAACAGGGGTCCCCAACCCCCGGTCCGTGGAGTAGCACTGGGCTATGGCATGCCAGAAACCGGTCTGCACAAACAAGCATCTGTGGGATGGAGGTTGTACATGAACCCACGCACCCTCCAGTCCACAGAAAAACTCTCTCCACCAAACTGGTCCCTGTGCTCAAAAGGTTGGAGACCTCTGATCTAAAACACTGGTACTGCATGTAAATCATGAGTACCAGCTTATTTCTGAGATTCCTGAATGCAGGAATTGGGAATTCTAGTTTAATGAAAAGAAGAATTAGGCATGACATGACAGCAGTGTTCCAAATATCTAAGGGACTGCCACAAAGAAGAGGGGGTCAAGCTATTCTCCAAAGCCCCCGAAGGCAGGACAAGAAGCAATGGATGGAAACTAATCAAGGAGAAGCAACCTAGAAATTTCCTGACTGTGAGAACACTTAATCAGTGGAATGACTTGCCTCCAGAGGTTG